CGAATATGTATTTAATTATGTATTACACATTTGGGTAAGGATTTTTTTATAAACAGTGTGTCCTTATGAACGCCCCTGTTTTCCCAATCCAGGCTACAAAGTTGACGGATCACGCTGGCAGGTTTGTGTCTCGGATGTGAACGACCTATTCAACTTCGTGATTGGACGACTGTTTGTCCGCCAGCGTTTTGATGAAGAAAGCAAGAAAGCAGTAAGACTTTGCGGGTTGTTAAAATTTATTTCATAGTAAAAACACTGGCGTAGTTTGAGTTGATTATCGTTTATCTTGGGTGAGAATCTTCGGAAAATATAGGTCTGTAGACAGACGGACAAACAGACGGAAAAATAGGCAGACAGAGATAAATGAAAAGATAAAGAGACGGATTCTTGATTGATTGATTGATTGATTGATTGATTGATTGATTGATTGATTGATTGGTTCTTCATACGAAACTATATGAATTATTATGCATGCAGCAAACAGTTTCCAACATTCCCCTACCCGTGTCATATTTAAAGTTAGGATTCTAGCCCCAGTCATTACCCTATGCTGATTCTGCCTTTAGTATCCATAACCCGATGCAAATACCTGGGCTGAGTCATTCGTCATTGTAAAATCTTGTCAGTTAGCTTCGAGTACAGTCTCCAGCTAGAACGTATAGAGCCAAAGGTCATAAATTTATAATTTAACACTGGATGTCTCGTTGGTGACTGATCGGATAAACTACATCAAACCAGTAAGCGAATGTCCCACAAACCAATCACCTGTCGAGGTAGACTTCTAGCAAAACCAAAGGAGAGTACAATGTAACCTGAAAGAACTGCCCAGACACCATATCGGACAAACAGGAAGTAAACCCTCTGCAAGGATCCGTGAACACCAATCGGCAGTCAGGAAACATGACCCACTATCGTTGATTTTTCACTTCGAGGATCAAGAAGGACATCAGTTTGACTTTGAATCTGTAAAAATTATCAAGCAAGCCCGGTCAAATCACGCCAGAGAATTTCTCGATGCTTGGCACTCTTCAAACAATTCAATAAATAGGCACATTAAGCTGGATCACGTGTAAACGCCAATGCAACTTAAGGATCAAATGACACAACAAAAGGGTCACTCCGTGACTTGAGAACTGGGCGAAACCGCAATCAAGACGGAAGGACAACCCCCTTTATCCTCACCGCTTCGCACCAGTTCAACGGCGCACCGAGTCGAACACAATGAGAACAAAAGGATAAAAGCAGCCACTGAAGAAGAATACCAACGGGTACAAGCAGAACACTGCCACTTCACAAGCACTGCTAATGTTACCTCCGCTGATGATGAAACGTTTGCAAGCAAATTGCCAAGCTTGGCGAACAGGCGAAACGGAATTCAGTTCACCCAAGTTACGAGAACCGAGTTTCAACGCCTTGTCAACCTAAAAACTATTTTACCAATTTGGATCTAAAGTATCATTAATTTTCAGTCAAGAATGTATTACATACCTGGAACTGTAGGTTTATGCAATAATTTTCCTGCGCTGGCCACTGCTTGCTTAGAAAGAAACAAGGAAGACAAGCAGTGTGTGTATGACCGATTGAAGTCAAGATGAGTATTTTGGATTGCGTGATGCGTTTCACACGTAAATTGCAAACAAAATGTAGACGATGAAGTTATAGTGTAGCTGGTACGAGCTTTCAGGGTTGATCGGTCCAACTGAAAATAGAACCTGCGTTCTTCACGGCACAAATAAATCATTTTACTTTTTTTATTACACATTTATGTGGTGAACAGCAGACGGGGCGAACCGCATAGTCACGAAGACTTGCTGCCCCGTCATGAAAACCCGGGACTGGAGTGGCGAAACACATAAGGCCCCGATAGGTTAGGCGTGGTATTGAACCAGATGACAGCAGAGCTACCTACCATCAAAGAAGGATGGCGGTGGTGGGGCTCGAACCTCGGACCACAGGATTCAAAGCCGGTGACAGCGACTAAGCCACTGCGCCACCACCACCGTAGGATAGGTTTTAAGGATGTCCCACTTGTTTTATATTTGAGTCGGTCGATTGATGAGAGCCAAAAAATTAGAACAGTTGTGCAGTGTCCCTGAGTGTTTAATTCAACGCTTCCCGGGGCTCGGCATACGACAAAATTACCCAGAAAAATAAAAAAACCTAACTAATGTGTCTAGTTGATGGCGTATACTAAGCTGTACACTAGAGGGCGTAATTTGATGTCCTTATAATATGAACTGTATTATGCTTGGAGTGAAGACAATTTCGATCCAACACACAGGGGGATTTTAGGATCTGTGCGGATTTGCTAGATTCGAAGGCATCAGAATGGTCCTTACGAAATATTTGTCAGCTAAATTAGCTCTTGTGACTTTAACACAGTATCTAAAGGCAATCCACTTTAATCAGTCATTGTATGTGTTATCATTCCCTGCTGTATTTTTCGTGTATACTACCTGTGTGCAAATAATGTGTTTGCCGTGTACGTAAATGAAAACGTTTGGACAACCGAGAAGTTGCATGAAACAGCTAGACACAAACAGACCATCATATCAATGCTGTCCATGTTTAGCAATGATCGGCAAACGCCAAAAGTAGTTTTATGCTTCAGTCTACTGGTATTATAAATAACAAAGCTTCTAATAATCTGCTTGGTTTTTAAAATGTATAAGACCTTAGGAATAATGCCACTTTAATTCCGTGATATCTACCGACACAAGGCGAATAACGTTTGTCGAAGAGAATGTGATAGTGTTTGGTTTAGCTACAATGAAAACACCGAAACACACGATTTAGGCGATAACATTTCAATCGCTTTGCACCGTAATGACAGTCTTAATGCAACATGCAAAAACAGAACCCCCTGTCGTCTTTGACACAGCCAAACACACGCACATGTACCAATCCCCCTATTGCGGTCACATCCCGCTTCCTTACTATTTTGCCGAAGCCTTTTGTATTGAGAAACCGAACCCATTGACTTGGCAAGAGAGTTCCCTAACCATTGAAGCGTAGTCATCGAAATTTCCTGTTTCGGAAATTTTGTTATGACTCATCAAATCAGTGTCTCTGATCAGCTTTTCTCTTTTCTTTTATAAAATGATACCAACAAATGGATTGGATTCAATATTCTTTTATGGTTTTATAGTCTAAATGAAACGTTTTGATGCTACGTTTGCTTGCACAGCACGAAAGAGTTTCCTAACAATGGAAAAACTATGGATCATTAAGTAGCGACCACTTTTGAGCAATCCTTGCTGCACTGCTTCGTAATTGCATGTATGTGGACCGATATTATCTTGAAACGAAAGTGTGTGCCTATCGGAACAGATAAATATTAGCGTGTGAAATTGATTGATCCTCTTGTAAAAGCAAGCGATTTTCTATTGATCAGCAAATACAATGCGTTAGATTATAACTTTTAAAAATAGAAGCTGGAAGAGAAAATGAATGCACTGATCTTTCGCTAACACTGAGCATAGTGAAGTGAACTTGCAAACATTTTACCAGATCCCAAAGTTTATTCAAACCAATAGCGTGGATGTGTAAGCGCCTCGGTTGATTGACTTACCAGAACCACTTTGACACATTGTAATTGAACTCCTACAAACCCCTTCTTTTGTCGCATGTTGTCAGGCCATTGAAATGATCAACGAAATCAAATTGGCATTCAAGGAAAATTTTGATTCCGTGACATGGATGAAAGAAGAGGACAAGGTGAAAGCGATCGAAAAGGTAAGCACACGAGAGTGACTTTCGTGAGAGTGGAACATACAGTTTAAATTATTCCTTATCGTTTCTGTGCTCACACATCATCTATCTCGATCAATAGTAATTACTATCATTGAATGACCCCGCTGTGCTTGTCCTAATACCCCTTGATCAGGTGGATAACATGGGTGCATCGATTGGCTATCCTCAGTACATTTTTGATGTTGTCGAGGAGGATAAAGTCTACGAACGTGTTGTGAGTTCTTTTGTCCTGTTTATTCGTTCAATCTTCTCTGCGGTCCTTTCTCTGTGGGTGTGATCGCCAGATGTGTTTTCATCTTTGTTTTATGAAAAACATTTTCCCCACAGACAAATTTCTCTTGCTCCTTTGTACACAAGCTTTTATTGCGTAAATTGTGTTCCAGCGACCGGAGTAATAACGGAAGTGACCGAAACATGTATGAAGCCGGACCATGTCCTAATGGCTTGTTCAAACGGGTTTTGTGTGTTTGCTGTTTGCTTGTCTGTCATTAACCACATAAGTGCGTCAATCAAGCACATTCTTATTCATTACCTGTCTATGTTATCCATATCCTCGGATTTGTATCAGATCAGCCTGAAGTGGTTCGGTTATTCCTCGGTAGAATGTAGATAATCACAATGGCGGTGATGGAATAGACAATGAACTCACAGAACTCACACTTTCTCCATTTGTTAGCTGGAATATTATGAGGCAAACTGAACGTGAAAGAGTGGTCCTTAATTCCGTAGTTCTTGGAGAGAAATTAATTCGAACTCTGCTGATGGATAGTTATTTAGTCATTCGATAAAGTTGACCTGGTTCTCGTGATCGGGTTTCGCTATCAAACGAATTTAGACCATCGACCGTGGGTAAATGGTTGGAAAGAAAACTTATCGGACGGAACGGTGACAGAGTAAATGGCATTGTGCTAAACACGGCACAAACTCACAAAGAAGCAGAGGAGACTACGCCATAGACACCGCTACAACAGTATATGGCGGTACGTATTTGGGGCTTTTAAGTAGCGAAAAACTGAAACACTGTTAACAACCGGAAAAGAAAGGAATTCTTTCTGGAGGCAAAAGATGCACCTTCAACGATATGAGGGGACCGATATATGGAAGAGGGAAACTAGATAAAAACTGGAACTGTAAAGCACAAGAAGAAATGTAGATTTGAGTCGCGGTTAAAACTTGTATTGCATCCAAACGTGTACATGACATCTTCGGTTGTGCGAACGACTCTAATTTTGAGTGCTTCAACCAGCGATGATACCCAGGTTAAAATTGAGGGGTACACAATTAATCAACTAGTTAGTGATAGGATTAAAGGGAGAACAAGAAGTGTTGTAGGAAAGAGAACAATCTGGGTTGACAAAAGCATGCCTAGGTCCAGGTTAATGGGATAATCGATGATCCCCGACGAGAACAAAACGGATGGGAGTTAGCTAAGAATATTTTGAATGCCGGAGTTTATTCTCAAAAAGACTCAAATAAATGAACCATGATTTCAAAATCGCTTCTTTTCGAAGTGAGTAATCATAGACGCAGTCCGAACTGGTGAAGATTTACCAGGAGCCCATCATGATTAAATTGATCAAGCAGCTTGGAGATCTTGAGAAAGACTAAATGCAATTCGTCACTATGGTTAGTGGCGGAAGACCGAATGTGTGACTCTATCATCAATTTGCAACACTAAATTGGTGATCGCTAAGAACTTCACGGCATTCTGAGTGCTTCTGCAATCACTTGTTTCATGAGTTCAAGGAGAGACAGAATGTGGGAGATACAGCGGTGATTGTTAGGATCACAGGATGCAACCACGTAAATAGTTTTCAATGACTGGGATGTCTTGAGCATGATTTGCGGGATTCCGTTTGGGACGGATGCCATGGATACATTTGGTGAATGCAGTACTGGACGGATGTTCCCGGTTGTTATTTTGGGACAAATGTGAGTCCCTGGTGGATAATAGATGATGCGCGATTGGTGAACGGAGATATGGTCAAACTGGATACNCCAGAATCACTTTTAACTGGATGAAAGGACGAAGGAAAAATATTTTTTTTGGGAGGCAGCTTTAGTCAGGTACTGGAACGATCAGCTATCGGAGGGACATTTGGCCGTGTATTTGCCTGTACGACGAACCACTGCGTATCTGACTATCATGATGAGCACCGAGTATTCATTCAGTTTTTGCACATAGTGACGATGAGAAGCTGGACTACCGATCAATCGCCAACACTTTAAAGGTTTTTCTAATGTACCGACAGAAAACAAACATTCGCAGCCCGTTTAATATAACGGAGTTTTCCGGTGTGAGAAAAGTGTGAAATAAACCTGCGCTGACTAACACTCACCACAGCGTTCATAGTCAAAGTAGACGAGTCGGTTCAGCTTTGTCATATCTGAGGAAGGATGCCAGGAAGTCAAGGAAGCTATTCTAGCTCATAACTGTGTACCACCAAAGTGAGTGGCGAGAACGAAAGGTTGGGGAGATGGATAGAGCTTCAAAGTTAAAACTGACGACATAGTGGTCTGATATGCCACGACAGGAAATTGGTCTTAAATCTAATAAAAGTTAAGGGCTGAAACTTTTTAAAAAGTCAGTGGTGAGGCTACGCTCCTCCACAATGATGTGAAGACAACAATTGAATGGTTTCAATATTATGAATCACTTTTTTCTGTCTGCAATGATTTCCCACGCTGGGTGATTATTCATTTCATTAAATACATATCCATCCCCACCGCTAAGTGATGAGAATGTAGAAAGTTATATTTGAGTAAAGTGATTCAATTTGCTTAGCGTTGAAAAGTATCCCTAAATTTGGCCACAAAAGTTGTCATTTCAGCCTACGATGTGCTCAAACGTCATCATGTGATGGAAGGTGGAACAAAGAAAGCCCCGGCTAGCGAACGAATCCAGAATGGGTCCCATCCTTCCAACCGCTACGTCTGTGCGTCTGGTTGGATGGGCCCCATTCTCGATTCGTTCGGTAGCCGGGGCTCTTTTTGTACCAGCTTCTATCACAATCATAGTGTACGATAAAGTACTAAGCTGGGAATCGAATGTAATGGCAAGCAAACACATAACGCGCTCTTGTTTTTTGTTGAGATAGTTGAAGTTTAAATTGAAATACTCAAGGAGAAAATGAACTGAAAGGCTAAGAAACACTCAAAATCTGTATCAATGGGTAGGATGTATGGATTTTATTGGTTTGGTAACTCTGACTGGTGGTAGAAAAGTACTTGAAGGAACCATTGGCGACTGCGAAGTTTCATAATAACAAAAGCGAACTGTTAATTTTTACATTATTTTGAATAACAGAAAAAATGTCAACAGCCGATAACATACTGAAGATTCTTGGATAAGCTGTGGGAATCAAAGGTGATGTGAATGGTAGTTGTCCACATCTATGTGTTCCAGGAACATTATTCCAAGTTGTTTTACCCAATTTAGTTTTAATTGAACCACGTTCTAAAAGTTAAAGTATCTGGAGGCTTTTTTTTGTATATATTGTGCTAAAACAATGCATAAATAAATTCACGAGAACTACAAGAAGACTCGGATAGACGAAAAGTGGTCATCGAGATAAAGGTGGTGACTTTGTGGTAATGTCATCAAATTATCACCTCGGAGGACGCATGTTCGAGTTCCATCACTTCCGCCTGACTCATCATTGTATGTTGCATGGAAGCCCTTTTATTGGCCACCTCCACTTCTCAAAACTTGTATCATTACGTATTCAATAAAAGGAAGTAAACAAAATGAACGGCTAACAAAATTGATGCCATTGTTCTAGATTAGATCACATTCCAGTATATTTAGTGAATTACGTGAGAAAATAATAATATGTGATCTGACATACTTCCGTTTCGCTTTTTGCTGATTTCAGTTCTCCGTACTTAGTTGGTAAAACATATGAGTCACCAGTTTTGTTGGTTCTTAGTGTAAATACACTATCCATTTTAAATTTCTGATACATGTTAGGGCCTGCAAACTTCAAATCACCAGAACATCCATGTATGTGATAGACTTAACACCGAATATAACTGATCATCATCATTTTCTTAACCAATTAATGTAGAACTGTCGAAATGCTAAATGAACCAAATACAAAGCAGACTGAATCAGTTTCTATAAATTTACACTCTTTGTCACTTCATGTTCTCTCCTTCATTTTAACTGACATAATCGCACCTCGCTTTCTCCAGTATATGTGCGACCTTGTATATTATCTTTCTCGATTTTCTATCATTCTTTCTATCCGCACCGAAGAGTTTAGACGAGAAAACATTTTTCGAGAATGGATTGCGTTTAACCGAAGCCACCATGCGCGAAGTTTATCGTCAATTGATTGTCAAAGATCGCTATCAGTAAGTTCGTTTATAGCAGATGTGAAAAATGCAGTATGCAGTAGAAATGAAACCAACGTCATGTTTACAAAGAGTCCTAAACCAACTAACATCGATTCCCTAATGGGAGGCTAAGGAATAATCTAGTCGTTTGATAGCCGTTTAACTAAAAACTCTTTTAGAATTCAAACCCCGATGAAGATCGTTTGATTGCATTATCAAATCAAGATAATTTCCAAATTAGTAGTGATATTACTCAAAATGAATTAAATGGTAAGTAAAGCATATTATTGGCAACCAAACAGGAAAAGAATCCCGAAAACGTTGTTTCTAACATTCGGTATCATACACTATTGTTCGGGAAAAAGTCTCCAAAAATCGTTTTTTTTGACTGTTAAATGGAAAAATAAGACCATTTAAGGTCTCAGCAGACTACGTGTGGCACGTAGGCTAGTAAGTGTGATGAAGGTTTACGCTAGTACCTTTGACTGTTGATGCGGACTACTTTAACCGCCTTCCGATTTATCATCTTTCATTATTAAGTTCGCATTACTAACGCATTCACTGAACTTTATCTTCAAGATGCATAGATTGTGTTTGTTCATCTTCAGCACAAAGCATCCTAAAAGTTAGGGTAAAATTTTCTAAAGTAAAGAGACTTCCCAACCTCACCTTCTCCTGAGCTAGTGGATGAATTTCCCCAGCGTTCATTGGAATTGAAGACAACAAACCTGACCAATTCTAACGATAGTCCTACCCATGTAAGATGGTAATGTCCAATGCAGAGAACAGCGGGTAGACATGGTGTAATTCCATCGATAAAGTCTGCTCCGGATTTTGACCATGTCAACTTTATAATAGCTTATGTTTTTCCAATTTTTTTCATTTGGAATAATCTTAATAGTAACAGCAGTATATTAATAATGACCGTTTGCTTCCTTCAATCAATAAACATTTGTTCAATCATATGGCATTTTATGGGAGCATCCTACTTTCAATTTTGAAATTTCTACGTTTTCTAAACTAAAAACGATACTTTTTAATTCAAGCCGTCGCATTGCTTGCAGTAAGGTAATTACATTGTAGCTTGCTCTTAATACTGCCGGCAAATTTGAGGCGTGACTAACACCTTTCAAAACTCATCATTTGCAGTTACTCTGAAATGAACTGTTGTCTAGATAACAGAAGTAAATACGGTACACACCGAAACTTGATGTAGAATTTTGTGTGGTCAAGATAGTTATTTAGTTCTTCAAAAGACTATTTGTGTTTGCTTTTTGGTTATTGAGATATATATATATACACGATTATCAATGAGCTACATTTTACTTTGGACACAAAGCTTCTTAGAGTAATTATATATATTCCATCTAGTCCAACTACTGCACAAATAGAGGCAAGCCCAAATTATTGTCCATTTGATCCCACTGTTCGCTTAAAGAATATTCAGAATTCAATCAATCAATCAACTCAGTCAAACCTGTATTCTCATCAAGAATCAATCCTCACAGGCCCATTACTTCAGCGGAAAGTCGATCATCTCGGGGCTTGAGCAAAACGACTACACGGGTGGATCAAGACCGTTGAATGTTACATGAACCTTCTAATGATATATGCATATATATAGATATATATCACCGAATAGTATATACAAATGACTCGTAAGACTGGTTTCGCGGTTCTTACTGAATCACTTCAACTATAGTTACGCTGATACAACGCACGATTCCCGCCAATAACTGTCCGCTGTATAAATCAATGGCAAACAATCATTCGGACAGTCTTTATTATTACATTTTTGACTGGTGCACAAACTCGCTTCAGCAGTGTGCAAATGTGGATTTTGTGTTTCTTTTTTTCTGTTTCCGGAGCCATCCACATCATCAAGTTTCTCATTCGCATGCAAATCAATAATCTCTTGACGTTACGGGACGCAACCAAAGTTGAACACTTTTTCCAGAAGGTTCAGTGCTTGAATGCTTCCCAAATGATTATACTTTCCTGCTATGAATTTTATTATGAAGGAGAAAGACGGATTGTAAATTGAAAAGCCGGGAAGCACTGTACAGTTGTTTCGGTTTGATTAGGTCTCGTTAGTAGTGCGAGTCCATCGACCGCATTGAAGCTCGAACCCCGGGGACAACCAAATTAAAGATTAAGCATACTACCTTATTGATCACCAACCAGCTTATCATTATTCTGCTCGTAGCTTGCTGCTCTTGTCCATTGTGTACCACCTCGTATCTCATCTTCATCCATTGATCAAACTACCCTATCGAACGTTGCTCAAATAATCCATCACCAGACTCCGGTATATTTTGAATAAATGAAGGCTTTCAAGCCTAAGCCAAACGATTATTTATCAAGCTTACGCACAACTTACTTAAAACTAGTTAAAAAGAAAACATAATTGGGATCTTATCGAGCACTGGATTTTTTCGATGCGTAATACGAACCTTCCCTAGGCGGTTTGAGTTGCAGTGTATGTGCGCTGTGAGGCAATAGTGATAATCATTTGGTTCTATTCACATAAAGCTTCAATCTTCCTTTCCTCGTCGATCCATTCTCCTCTCTCCTTTCTCTCGTGCTTAGGTGGGATCTATCCCCGCATGTGGTCAATGCATTCTACAAGGAGACCGTGAACCACATATATTTCCCAGCTGGGATTCTGCAGAGTCCTGTGTACAATCGGGACCATCCGAACGCATTGAATTTCGGTGGAATCGGGATGGTCATGGGTCACGAAATCACACACGCGTTTGACTATTACGGTAAGAACCATCCAACCGGTCCCAAATAAGGGCCAAGCGAAACCCGATGCATTCGAATTGCTCTATGTACTTTTTCTTGCACAAAACCCGCTTACATGTTTGCAACATTTAAATTTGTTTTCAAGTCAGTTCAATGCAGAGGTTATCAATCCAGATCAAGGGGGAGGGAGCTTTCAAGGAGATTAATATTATTGAGACTTTTGATGATAAAATAATGGGTTACAGAACAACTCAGGCTCTAGCGATTGACAGTCTTTTGGTGAGCATACTATGAGTGAACTATTCATTTAAATGCCGGAAATATGCAGAATGATGCTGTTCCTGTAAGTAAATGTTGCAAAAAAAATTGGACTGTGTTGTGATTAGAGACGGCTTGAAGACCGTTCGATTTGGGACAACAGTGCTTTTGAAGATTTATCACAGTAGTCCGCAATTTCATTTACAATGACATTAACAATGAAAGCACCACAGGTTCTGAATAGAACCATAGAGGGCCGAGTAATATTCTTCATTTTTAGTCCAGGGGAACAAACTGGTAAGCGATACTAGCCAGTGGGACGGAACACATCCAATTGAAAATTTATGAAGCTTGTGGACCCTTAGTGCGTGAAAATGATTCTATTCAGTACAAATACCAAATAAGTACCATGATCATTGCAGTAAAAACAGATCGAATCCGAGTGTGAAGTAAAGTGTTTGGAAAAAAACACTTCAAAAATTATCACTTTCAGCTTCATTTTTATAGTTGAATTTCTTGATTTTGAGATGTTATCACAATTTGTTTGCGCTTTCCAGAATCTGCTTGGTTGAACAAAGCAAGCAGCACCCATTGGAATAACTTAGATCCATACACAACAGACTATTGCCCATTTATCTACTTTCAAAACGTCAATCTTTATAAAGCAAATCACAAGATCACTGTATTTGTTCCAATCATTCGGACGAAATGCTCGAACCCGGTGCATATCAAGTCTTCAAAACAAAAAAGGACTGGATCATTTGGTTTGGTATATTTCCATTTTTATCATGATATTTTTCCCATACACGAATGACTCGTTGATCTGGATTAGACTTGACCCGATTGATGGTCAGACCCCGGTCAGTAGATTAAAAAGGAGTCGTGAATAGGGAATCGTTACTTAGTCGTATGTGTGTGTGCATGCTATGGTTACACCTGAAACATTAATGAATAACGCATTCGATGGTTGATAAGAGGAAACTGAGGAGGTCAAAGTACGTTTGATGGCAAATGTAGCTTAGACTTCCGAAGCATTATCATGATCGTTCCAGTCAACAGGAGAGCATTCAGAACTTAGGGACAGAGCATCTAGGGTCTGAAAACCCATATTGCACTACTTGTACTGGTTGCATAACTGGGAAAACTCAATTTAGTGTTCGCTGTCTCTATGCTTATCGCTTTGCTAAAGGCACGATGCTAAAACAAAATACCTCCCAACTACTACTATGAGACCAAATTCCGGACTGTCTTAATGATGGTAGTTTCATATTTTGTTCCATGGCTTTGGAACGTTCATTTGGTTGATGCTTCGAAACAGGTACGAGCGATTCATGATTCTCCCTCATTTCGTTTAGTATCAAATTCAAATATCTGATCCTTTATAGAGTGTGATAACAGGCATTTAAAAGTAATTTCTCCCACATGACCCGGTATCTATCTGATCCAGAATAATGATGTTCAATGCTGAATTTCAAAAAAACAATAACCATCGAACTTCCTTGTGCATGACAGTCTACGAAAAGTCAATCACTTCATGTTGCTTTGTTTAACCTCGAGGATAGTAAGAACTGTCGAACGGAAAACATTTCTCTTGTGTGTGTTACCACTTCAGCATTTTGCGCGTTTATAATTTTCTCGAAAGAATAGTTATGTTCAGCTCACTTCACACTAGGCCCAGCCAAACGAACACATTCCATTATACAAGCATTCGTAACATGTGACATTCACCTCAACTTAATCGTTCGCGTGTCCTTCAAATGTAGGTCAATTGGTGACCTGAGAAGTGGCCAGGTGAGTGCTGAGACTTGGATGAGAGATTGAAAGGAATTTTATCCGAGTTCACAATAGTACTCAACGTTTGCGGGGGTAGGGTGGGGTGGTAGGTAGATTATTATCCATCCGCACGGTCAATTAATCTTGTCAACTAATTATCATATGACGAAGTGAGGTCAATCATGCACTTGAGGCACTGGCAATCCGTAGGCCATCGAAACATATCGAGAGGTTTGAGTTCTCGGGGGGGGGGGGGGGGGGGGGGGGGAATGTGTTTCTAAGTCAGAATCCGCGACAACAGCCAATGGAGCTGGGTTCACACCAAACAGCACCAAGATCTATTCAGTCAATTCGTATTGAAGGCGACTTGATAAGTGATCTTGGATTGTGCACATCGAAAACAGCATAGGCGACTGGTAGACTTCATAGCAAACTGAAAATTCAGAAATTAGTTCATTGTGCAATAAAATCGTAACACACAGACCACTGATAACCTCTGGAAGCGATGCCAGTAGCTTTTTTATGGTCAGTGCATTTCAACCGAGCTTCTGCTTATGGCTCACATCATAATTTTGCTCGCATTCAGACAAATCACGAGTGTTGTTTTATCAAAAGCATGTTGTGATATGATGATCACTTTACTGTCTATTACAATTTCCACCAAATCAAGGCGTAAACTCGGACCGCTTTGGACCGTTGTTAATCTGAACAGTATTGATGCTGAGTAGCTGTAGTGAGTGGGATCTTTCACTCAGCCAGGTTTCGAAATCCGGTTGCATTCCACTTCAAACCATTGTCAGCAATTTGGTTATCAATCTCCCTAGCTAAAGTGGTTCGGGGCTGGTGAGAGAAACGACTGTATTTTATCTCGAAATGACTACTTTATGTACGTCACTTTCAGCCGAATTTCTTTCATCTTTGAGATCGTTTGGCTCTACTGAATTCAACCGTGAAGAAATTTTGGAACAAAATGCAAGAGAGGTAACCCCCCTACCCTTGCACAGCCAAGTGTTACCTTTGGGACAACAGGGTGGTTGCGATGACCCAGAATGATAACGGGCCAACTTCGCACACATCATGATGCGTTCTGTAGGCATTCAGCACTTTTGATTGCGATGAGATTGCTTAGCTGTCTAAAACCCGCCATGTTCCCGTGAACTTTCGACAAGAAGAATACAAATCCAAGTATGCGCGCATTTTCAGAAGTGATTAGAAAAAGCAACTTGACGAGGGGCGGCAGTTTGTGACGTGTACAAGGGCTGATCGCATAACATTTATCGGAGTGAAACTGGAAAGCACAGTAACGAAATACATTTGATAGTTAAACGAAATGTGAATCTCTACTTTTTTCCTCTGTCAGTGGAAGACGCTCTCAAAAGGTAAGAAAAACTATCAACCATTTAATTACTTAATTTAACTGACTTAGTACTGACCTAATCGAAAATAGATTTGATGATGATGAAGCATCAATTAAAGTTCAATACTGTTTCATACAAAGAAGAAAATCTTCTACGTTAGTTGTTCCGCTTTTTGTTCAAGCTAAAACATTTTTGTAAGCAGTCAAAGATCTATCAAAACGGTGGCTATCGAAAAAAGTTACAGATAATTATATCTCATGATTTTATGTTAGCAGCTTTTTACTTATCGCTGGTTGATCAATACATTACAATTTGGTTCTCAACAACGTTGGTGTGAAACACATTGAGGTTGAACTGTTCAAGTTAACGTCACCAGCGGATCAGTCCTCTTGGACTTATTCCAACCCTCATCGGAAAAGGTTCTATGCGGCGCGAGATCCACTGTGAATAACATGCGTGACTGTTTTGTCTGTCAGTGTATGACTCTCATTGAGCTGCTCACAGTTTACAATAGTTCTGAAATACTAGGACTACTCTGCTTCCTAAACAGTGTTAGATTATTTGTAATCAGTCGGTTAGAACATTTTAAAATATATTACCTTTTCTCCTTGCTATTTGCGCCTTCAATAAAAAATATTTCGTGTGAATCATTTCTGTCGTCAGAAATAGAAATGTTTCCATGGATGGTAAGTAATTTTGATTTGACTGCCAGTGATGCTCATACTAATTGCCCGCGTTTGTCAGCTGTATCCAGAACTTTATCATAAATCTACCAATTCTATCATTGCCTGTGTGGTGGCGTTTTCCAATTTATTTTTCTGTGTCGATAGTTTTAGTCCAACTGGCTCTGGGCAATATTCGACCACCAGATGTCATCGGTAGGAGCGACGAGAAGAAGCTCAGTTTTGTGCACTGGTGAGGGACGCACGGAAAAAATTCTGTTCGTTCACTCTCAAATCGATACAAACTTCCCGTTTTTTCTCGCTTCAAAACCCGCTTGGGGGGGAGAAATTCAATTTTTTAGTTCGATGGTGTGCAGAGCTCTGCGTGCTACTGTGCAACTTATTTTGCGCCAAACGCAGATCACCATTGTTCGTCACTAGTTTCCAACTCGCAAGCCAAATATCTGAGTGCTTGTGTGTGTGCACGCGCGCGCTTGGCTCTGTTGATCAGCCGTGCCGGCTGATGTTTGCGCTAACTGACCTGATGTGAAGACACCTCCAATCGACGGGGTGCACTCAATCGCGAGCATTGTATGCGATTCCCGGGTTCGACTGAAATTGCGTTTGCCACGTCAGTAAAAACCAACAACCAACACTTCCGTTTGCGCCATCACGAACTGGGAAGACTTACTAAGTGGGAAGAAAAGCCGATCAGTTTGTCTATTATTTGCAGCAGTAAGATTCATTTTCGTTTCATACTCAATACGCAGATTTTATCATTGTTGGCAGACACGAACGGATCGGAAATGCTCAAAAATGTGTCTGCGTTGGAGCGATTCAGAATCTGAGGAAAATATAAACAAACCAGTAGGCTAACATGTAAAGGATTTCTTGGAATTCACTGCTTGAGTAAGTAAATAATTCCAACTAACTCACACACATTCTGAGGCACACGGACGTGGTTTGAGA